GGATGTACATACCCTCACATTAAAGCTGACAGTCTGCAGTTAAAGCACATTGTTTGTTTCATTCCACATCCATTGTGGTGGTGTATAGAGCCAAAGATGCTAGAATTGTGTCGATGTCCCAATATTTCTGGACCTGACTGTATGTTTAATTCAAAACTGTAGAGCACATTTAATTACATACATAGGAGAGGTAGAGAAGGAAGAAAAAAATCAACACAAAACAGTGTGAGTTGTGTTTCCAAAGTACTGTACAGACTTCAGTGTACAGAAAATGTTCTATTCCCACCCATTACATTTGCTAATAAACAAAAAATAATGACCACATCATGTCAAGATCTCAGGGTACTTCAAAGGCTGCAGAGAAGGTACTAAAAGGACTGCATGCAGCTTGTGATGGCTAACCATGGCCTCTGTGAAGACTGGTTTACTAAATCACATGTGGAGTTTAGCGAAGGAAAATCAGATTCACCGACATCCATTTCTCTGTGCAGGGAAAGAGGTGAAGACATGCTCTCCTATTCCCCTTGCACTGAGAAAATGTTCTGTGTAGGGTAGGGTGGAGATCCATTGCCTCTCAGAAATTCCTGTACAGAACTTCTTATCCAATGTCTGCTTTCACCCATCAGGGAAAATACATATCAAATATTTTCCTTGATCATCCCAAGAATTCCATATGGCATTCCTTTCCACTTTCTCAAACCTGTATATCCCATAAGGTCTGGTTGTTTTAAAATATTAGCATTTAATTTTGGGATGAATTGCATTTATTTCATTATTGCTTTTGATTGGCTTATTTTTGCATTTAAATTGTTTCTAAATGGTAAGTAACAAATATAATAGCATCACACTTTCAGTATTTCATGTCCTTGCATGTTGTCTTTTGCCAATTTATAATTGTTTTTCCCTTGTGTCCTTAGTGCCGATAACATATTGAAGTTGCTGGGAACTCTGTCCACCTAAATGAGCCTTGTGACTGGGATAAATGCTTTAGCTATTCACTTTATTCCTTATAGCAAAACCTACTTTGCATAACTGAAGAATACATAGGAAATAATTCATTTCTAGAGCTTTAAAATAACCCTGAAGCGTTTTGTTCTGCCTTTGGTTTGACTGTAAGAGAATTGCAGGGAACTCACACTTCAAGGATGTACAACTGGCACTAAGTTTATCTTTTCAGTGTTACATTATTATTCATGCCTCAGTGAAGCTGCTGGATAGGTTTGGGAAAACACTTCCCAATAGAACCTTCTGGAGTGGAACAATTTAATCTGGCCTAGAGCATGGAATATGCTGCAACAATCCAAGTCTCCCAAGATAGTGGTCCATCAACAGCAAAGTTGTGATCCTGTCCCTCCATATATGGACCTTGTCCTTTCAGGACAAAAATAAGACTCAAGGATGACCTGTATCTTGGGCAGATTCCGAAATGGGGAATCTGAACCATAACTGTCACAGTGGGATCAGCATGAGAATTGAAGTCTCCCCAGCACCATCTCTGATGCTACTCCTGCCAGCTCAGTGAAGAACTCTATTACTAGCAGCAGGGTAGCCAGTACACAGAACCCCTGTCTACATCTGTCAATTTAGCTTCAAAACTGGTAATATCCCAGAAAGAGAGCACAGAAAGGAACATTTCAGCTGGTTACTCTGTTCCTTAATGTTGTATTTTTTAAACTATACTTTGCTTTTGTTGAATTTGAGAATTATCTGAAAAAAATGCCATAATCATATATTGATGAAAAGGGCTTGAAATATTTTATTAATAGCATGTTTCAGTATGTGGGCAAGATCCAGTCCCTTCTGCCTTCTTCAGTAGATTCTTAAACTTTTACCAGCTGCCACCTGCATCCCCCCTCAATAGTGGTAGCCACAGTTTAGAGGCATTCATTAAGCTTTTAAATTTCCAAATGTGCTACATAACACCCCAAGGTTACATGGTCAAAGAGAAGCTGGAAGAGGAAAAAAATGAGCACACAACCCTTCACTACTTGAAATTATTCAAGAATAACTTCAAAAGAAAGGGGGAAGTGTAGCGTATCTATTCCGTTTCATGTTTTCAATTATTTATTCATGGATAAACACTGTAATGTTTGGCAGAGTGATACTGCCATTCAGTATGGAAGGTTTCCATCTCAAAACCTCAAACATCCCATTACAAAACTTGGCACAGAAGGAGAGACTTCTTTCCTTTTCTTGGGAACAATGTAAGTTCTTCCCTGTGTTGTGAATGTGGTTGGTGGGTGCTAAATTCTAAGTTTAATCCCTTCACCAATACAACTTTTTAACTGTGGCTGGTGTCAAATGCTATGAGATTTGAATGCATTGGCCTAAAGGATAGAAAGTTTTTTCCATCGCCAGAGCTCTTCGATCAACTCTGAAAAACCCAATGGCCTCTCACTGGGATTAGAATTGCGGTGTTCAACGGCAGTGGAACTTGCTCTCACCTGGGTTGCCAAATTCAGTTGCTGAGTTTGCAGAAGCTACCGTGCCTGAACAGATACATTATATCAAATAGTTTAATTTGATAGTTTGGTTCATAAAACATGCTAAGACCAAGGTTACCTATATATACAGTGACCATACGTTCTTTATTGTAAAGGTCCTTTATTTCAGAAAGCAGTCCTTTAGATTTATTTCTTTTGGAAAAACTCATTTTTGTCCTTTATTTGGTCATTTAACTTTTACCGGTTAATGGTATTTAATGCAGAGTTTTTCACATTCATGTGAAGAATATGGAAATTGAACTGTCTTTTTAAAATAAATTTACATATACTGTTTGATTTTAGATGTTTTTATTTCGTAAAGTGGTTTGTAAGTGCAAAAGGTTTTGTAAAGTTTTTCTTGGTTTTGCTCTTGAATTTTCCTTTGTAAAGAAGTTATGAACATAAATAATTACTTTACATTTTTTTATCCTTATGAACCTCTTTCAGATTTGCCCCTTTTTCAGGTTTGTCCTTTGTTTCCAAGAAAATATGGTCACCATACCAATATAGCTATCTTCATTTATTCTGCTGTTGCATAATATGCCCCATTCTACCCAAAAGGCACCAATAAACCCTGGGAAACTGATATGTTACTGAAGATAACATACTGGGAACTTAAATGTGCAGAAATGGAAATTTTAACAGCATAACAAAACAGAAGTTTGACCAAATTTAAGCAAGACTAGCTTCCATATATATTACATATTATGTAGCAAGGTAAATTTAAGCATTTAATGTGTGGTTTTTAAGGGGAAAAAGAATTACTAAAGAAGTGAAAATAGAATTTTTTAAAAAAATGTTTATAAATGTTGTATATCAGTCAGAGCACAACAAAGGGGAAGTCAGAAACTAAATATTTACCTATAATGTTTTTGGTAGTCCTTTTTTAATGATATCTTTAAATAACAAACTAGTGGAGACTTTGGCATTCAGCTCCTTTTCCTTATTGTTACAAATAACTTAATGCATTATGGTTTTTAATTTCTCATCAATAATATACTCAGCATCAGCTGTACAACTTTTGCAACTTCTTTGTCCACTTACTGGTATAATATCTCTGCATAATTTCTTTCTCTTTTTTTGCTTGTTCATTTTCTCTTTTTTTAAAAAAATAAAAAATAATTAAACCCCTTGACATTCATAGCTTAGAATAATTACAGTTTGGGGTTTGTTTGTTTTTTTTGAACAGCTGCCTTTCAATTCTTTCATTAAGTGACACTAAAGAAATATACTACAGAATGGTTCATTATAAAAACTGTTTGAAAGGTCCTCAGTTTGTGGGGATAGGAAGTCCTAGGATGAAATCAAGATGCAGCTTGTAAATGGAAAATTCTCTGACATTGAATTATCAGCTTCAAAGAGACTTAATACAATGACTGCAGTTGTTACCTCTTGCTTTAGCAGCTGAAGCAAGAGTCCATCCAAGAGAGCAGGGCTGGTTTCCTAATGAAAAACTCTCTATGAATTTCTTACTCTGGCTACTGCCCTCCTGGGAACAGCCATGACTTCTCCAAGTTAGTAGGGGCGGAACTTCCGGTGTGCCCTCATGAGAGCAATTTTCTGCTTATCCTCTTCAAATTTCTTCCTTAGCTGGGCTATGTCTGAAAGATACACAAAAGGCATTAGAAAGGAGAGGTGAGGATCTAGCTCTTAAACCAGCCTGCTTAAGTTAAGTTTTCAATCCTATTATCCACTAGCAGGTAACTACTCTGAGTGATTCAAATTATTACTGAAAAATAGAGATGAGGAAGAAAAATGCTTTCACAACTACCAACCTATTTGCTGTTATGTCACCTGATAACACAGTGGCAGTAAGCCAGAGAATGTGAAAACATTTTTCTGCACTCAGCAATCTTTCCATTCCATTTTGTCTTATTTAGTATAACAGTTCTGAGTTGGGTGATGGTTGAGTTCCAGCTGACTTTCAGGTGATCTAGGAATAATCTGTCCCTCTGGCAGCAGCATTTTAACTGGGGAGAAAAAGAGCTACAAAAAAAGGATTGATCCAGACCCCATTTGCTCTGGACTTATGCCTCATCTCTGGCAAGTTTAACCCCTCAATAGCATACAGGTCCCAACAGGTAACTTCCCCAAAGTAATGTGGCCTTTTGCTGAATTGCAGAGTACTGCATATTGCACAGAAAGAAATATTTAAAACTTAACAATTTTAGCTTTAATATCATCTCTATGCCATATGTTAAATTCTAATTTTAGAGCCCAATATTTTTTCTACTACATTTTATCTGCCAAGATTAACTATAAAGGCTGTAGGGGCTAGGATCAAATATTATCTCCTGCCAAAATCAACAAAGAAGTGTCCATTGATGCTGCCCTGGAACTCCCCAAAATTGTTTAATGCCTTGTTGTCCTCAGTGTTCCTTATAAGACAGTAACCCTATCACCTTAGATTGGCCATGAAGTGCCTAATTTTTAAGAGGAACTTGCAAGAGATAAACTCTCTTAACCATACCCTTTTTTGTTTGGTAAGAAAAAAAAATCCTTTTCTGGTGTGTAACTGGAAATTGCCATTTGCAAATTACCTGGTTTTTTGAAAGTCTTTATCTCCGAGCTTAGCAAAAATGCCTATTACTTCTGAACTCCAACAGTTAGAGACTTGCTATGATACATAGCTTGAATTTGGAACCCAGTTTCGTTTTTTTTGTTTTTTTGCATTTCAATTTTTAGTGGCTTCCCTTTGGCAAATCCCTGCTACAACCAACCCTTCTTTTTTATAGTTTTTTGAATTACTGCAGGGGTTGTTAGCTGTTTTAGACAATGGCAATGGTGCTTTAAAAAAAAAAAAAAAAAAAAGCTTAATAAAGCAAATGACCAAAATCTCTCAAGATAACAAAATCTTATGAGATTATGCAGTTTTTGCTCATAATCTTGCAAAATGTTGGTCATTATTAATGCTAATAATGCTAATATTATTTGAACATTTAACTTTAAGAGATATTGGGATTCTACACTATTGATCCATGATTTACTAAGAGACTTAAGCAGAACAAAAGAAAACAAAGCCTCTCAATTTCAGTTCTCCTTCTCTTGGCTCACCAAGGCAATGTACTATATGTTTTTACTGCATCATCATTGCTCACCCAAATAAAACCCAAAACTTCAGTTGCTCTCCAGATTGATTAGAAAGAGGCTATGTTACCTAAACAAAACCATCTGATGTTATTCAAACTATGCTCCTTTGTAATTAGGAAGTGTGTTATATCCTGGAGAGCCAGTTTCGTGCAGTGGTTAAGGCACCAGGCTAGAAACCAGGAGACTAAGTTCTACTCCCGCCTTAGGTACAAAGCCAGCTGGCTGACCTCAGGCCAGTCACTCTTTCAGCCCTAGGAAGGAGGCAATGGCAAACCACTTCCGAAATCTTGTCAAGAAAAATGCAGGGACTTGTCCAGGCAGTGAATGCTGACTCAAAGGCATAAAATCTGTCTGTCTGTCTGCTGTCTCCTGAACAGACAAGAATTGGTTGAAATTGTTTCTGAAAACAAGCCTAGCAAATCTGAGCTAATTTTTTTTCTAATAATGTATATCCCAGCATAGGAAATGGCATTTAGGCCCCTGAGTCCAGCCTTCTCAGTGCAGAAATCCAAATTAAAGCATCTCTGATAGATAACTGCCTAGCTTCTACTTGAGCACACCCAGCTTAATTAGCTCACTGTTAAATTGCTCTTAACTGTTAGAAAGTTTTTTCCAACGATCAACTAGAATTCCTTTTAAAGTGTAGTGCCTGGAACTCTAGATATAGTTGCACCAATGTACAAGAAAGTGGAATTATTACTTTCAACAACTTGAAACTATAATTCTGTTAATGAAGCCTGAAACCGCATTTGCCTTTCTTTTGCAGCACATCACAATGCTGACTCATACTCAACTGCAGTTAACTACAATGCCAAGAACTTCATATCAAGTATTATTAACAGGCCAGGTAGCCTGCATTCTATACCTGTGCATCTGAAGAATTCTGCATTTATCTGTTGAAATTCATAATCTAATTTTCATATAGTTTTGAATGTTATTTCTGTCCTATAGGCTATTCCACCATAATAATTTTATTCTGCAAATTTGATAAGTATTCCTTATAACTCTTCATCCAAGAGATTAATAAAAAATGTTGCCTGAACCTTGTGGTGCTCAACTCAATGCCTTGAAACGTACATGAAAGGGAAATTACTCACGTTCTCTCTTGGTTTCACGATGTTGCCATGCATAAAAATTGAGCAGTTCCTTGCGTGCTCTCTTGCGTTTCTCTCTCTCTAGGGCCCGCAAATTGGCTGCTTCTGTCCATGGAAGACCAGGCCTTCGGCCTTTCCTTGTCACTTTCACCCACCCTTCCTTATCAGGAACACCTTCTTCTTTTTCAGCTTTGGCTTCTTCCTATTCCAGGAATGTGGATAAATGGGAGAAAAAAATATCTCAAGGCTGTATGAAAACAGTTTGATGTCATACTTGATTTCAAGCAGTATTTACAATCCAGAAAGCCATTCTTAACTTGAAGAAATCCCAGCCTTGTACAAAGTGGGCTTTCTTATAAAAGCAGAATTTTGTTCTCAGGAAATATGGATAATGTAATTGTCCAAATAACCACTTTCTAGATATGTGATACACGTCGGAGAGAAAATGACCTTGGCCAAGTTCAGTATGGTGGACATAAAGTGGTACAATATTGAAAAAATCCTATAATCCTTGGATTGAATACATTTATATTATCATTTTATATCCCACTTTGCTTTTCTTACATGCATGTTTCTCTTCTGCCTGTTTACATATTCTCAAATAAACTCTGTGAGATAATGTGGGCAGGCAAATAATGGCTAGTCCAAGGTCACTCAGTGAGCTTTCTGACTGAGAGGAACTAAACTCCAGTTTCCCAGGGTCCACCTGAACATTTTAATCACTGCACCATGCCTGCCATTACTAATCCTAACCCATTCCGGAGGAGTTGGATCAAGGAAAGACCCTTTGAAGATAGGCAGTACTTTCCAAGCACAATTATATCTCTGGTTGCTGTACCTTTGCAACCTTTTGATCATAGGTTTGCATGAAAGAATCCACTTCTGTCTTCAGCTCACCAGGATCCATAATTGATGCTGTGTATCTGGCAATCCATTCTGAAAGAGTGGGAACAAAATAATCAGCAACTTTGTGGTGCAATTCTCAAGATATGAAAAGAGAAAAATGTCCTTTGAGAATCTGGAAGTTCCTCTTCACATATTCCGAACCAGATTCAATGTTGTAGGGCAAATTGTACTACATGTAAGCACAGAGGTTTACACATTTTTATAATATGTTATTACATCAAACAAACCAACAATATAAATGCATACATACATCCAATATGAGAGCCAGCGGGGGTGTAATGCTGTGATGCTGGACTGCCATTAGGGAAACCCAGGTTCTAGTCCTCCCTCAGCCATAAAAGCTCACTGGGGGGCTTGGGGCCAATCCAGTTCTCACCACAGCCTAACTCACAGGACTGTTGTGGGGAAAAACAGGAGGAAGGAGCATTATGCCTGCTGCCTCGAGCTCTTACACAAGAGGCAGGATAGAAATCTAACAAATAAATGTGATTTAAAATTTAAAAAAAATATCAGGGCATTTATATCATAAACAACAATGCCAAAAATGTGGAACAAATTGCTTTGCCCTTTTATCATACACCTATACCCACAGAGAAGCTAATTCAAATATTAGCAATATATAATGGCAATCCACCACTGGAAATCAGGTGCGGATTTATACTGCCAGTGTTATATAACAATTATTTTGGTCATTCCCTTTTGCAAAAAAGTTCTCAAGCCTTGATAAATTCTAAATATTGGGGATATAGCCAGGATATGCATCCTTGATATACAGTGATAAATCTTATGTTATCAAATTAGGGATTTCAATCCAAAATATGGCAATAAGAGATGCCAAATCACGTGAGTCAGACTGCTGAACTGCATCTCCAATAGCTGGGCAATTGCAGCCAACCATTATTAAATATTCTCTGAGATGTCCAACAGACACAAAACAAAATTTTCTGTTCTATAACCTCATTTTAATAGCAAAAGGATCTAATTCACTTTTTCAAACCTTACACTATTTACAAGAATGAGAGCCAGTCTGGTCTAGTGGTTAAGACTCCAGGCTAGAAACCAGGAGACTGTGAGTTCTAGTCCTGCCTTGGGCATGAAAACCGGCTGGGTGACTTTGGGCCAGTCACTTTCTCTCAGCCCACAATGTCAGGCTTGAGCGACAAGCCGGTTGGTCAATTCCTGTCATAACCAATGGATCAACACTCGGTTGATCCGGGAAAAAAAAAAAAAAAAGCAGATCCTGCACCCAAGGGAAAATGCTAGGAAGAAAAAAAAACACTATTTACAAGAACTGACAATAATTAACATCAGTGTGAAGAGGCCATTGCTTGCTTCAGCAGCAATTCTGGCAGAAGTGAATTTTATGTCTGGCTTGAAGCTTCAGCTAGCAGGATCTTAGGGGTGCTACAAATGGTTTGTGTAACCCTATCAATTTCATCTAATTCTTTCAACTTATTCAAATGACTTATCAGTTGATAAGAAGCCACCAGCTGATTTTTCCAAAACCTCTAACAAATGCAGAATTTTAAAAGTAGCAACAAAATCAAGGCCTATGAGTCCAATTAACAAATGAATAACTGCTAAGAGACCCTCCTGAGGTAAATTCTTCAAAATTTTATAGAATGCTTCATCAAAGATATCCATTCCCTCCTTTTTAAACTTGTTTTAGAACTTCTTGCTCATGCTTAACTACCCCCAGGTTTTCACTGCTATGTAGAACATATATTATCTTTTATAAATCCAAAATATGCATTCTTTATATTAATATGAGAGTTGATATCTTATCTTTTTACATTATACATTGCAATAAATCAAACTCAATGTCACTGAGATTTGATCTTCTTGGTCTTAGTAATAATGTTGATATTTTAAGATATTGTGGTCTGATTCATTCATTTTTCTTGACTGGTAAATATTTATTTATGAAATTTATAGGATACCCCAATCTGTTATGATTCTGGATGGCTTACAAATACAACAGTACAATACTGTAAAATGCAGAAATCATCAAAAATCTGGAAAAAATAATCAATAAACAAGAACTGAAACATCATACAAGGAGTGCATCACCCACATTTATGACGGAAATTTTTAAATTTATTTTAAGATTGCTTGCCACTCATGGGTGGCCATACAAATTGAATGAATGAATGAATTAATTAATCCAGGGTCTGGGGATAGAGCTAGGTCTTAAGGGCTTATTTAAACAGGACCATGTTGAGGGCCATACAAATCTTGGGGAAAATGGTGTTCCAGAAGGAGGCAATATGACTGCGCAGGCTCACTCCTGGGTCCCACCAGATGGTACTGTTTAATTGATGGGACTCATGGCATGCTGACTGTTGATGGGAGATAAGTGGCCTTCCAGATGATCAGGCCCTTGCCATGAAGGGTTTTACAGGGGATAACCAGTAAAATTGGTTGAATTGCTCCCAAAAACCTACTGGTAGCTAGTGCAGTTCGTGGAGCAGAGGTGTCACGTGGGCATAACGAGGTATGCCTATCACTGCCTCTGCTACGTTCTGGATCAGAATCAAAACCTCCAATTTTGATACAAGTAAAACAAGCCATAGGTAATCTAAAATTTCTTTGAATATTGAGGTTAGGACAAATGGGATTAAGAAGAATTTAAATCTGATTTACATTTTATGGGGTCTTATTTTAATTAGTATTATTTTGAACAAATGTACATGCTATTCTATAACTTCCTTTGTCAACGCTATCCTTCAAGATATTTGTCTTTTCGATTTAATTTTACCTATTTTATTTATTTATTTGTTTGATTTAGGTGCTGCCTGACTCCAGACTGATTCTGAGCAGCTCACAAAACAAGAAGTATTAAAATAATCTTATACCAGTAAACAGAGGCAAATCTGGTCAACACATAAACATCGACAGGGACTCCAACCACCCTAGTCCAGAGCATGGGAGAAGAGCCAGGTTTTTAATGCCCCCCAAAATGCCATCAGAGTGGGAGACACCCAGATTTCAGGGGACCCTCATTCCAGAGGGCAGGCACCATGACAGAGAAGGGATGGGACTCAGAACATGCTGACTCTGTTGATGGGAGATAGGTATCCCTTCAATGACCAGTCCCTGTGCCATGAAGAGATTTATAGGTGATAACCAGCATCTTGAATCCCATCCAAAATCATTAATTGAGAAACAAGCAGCTTTTTGGCTAGCAGCAGGATTTTATTATATTTGCATTTCATTTTTTGTTGCTCAGAACTCAAATCCTTTCTGTATTTCCATTCCCTTCTTGATTTTCATTCTAAATGTTTATCATGAGTCAGATCAGGCAGAGAAATCACAAGTCTGAAATCAAATGTGTGAAGAGAGAATTGAACCCTGGATTTCCAGTTCTGTCTGATACTTCTTAGGGACTACTGGGTGCAGCCTCAAATGCAGACTTCTATATGCCAGATTTGGAAAAGAAAAATGCATAGCATTTCTGCTTAACTTACTGTGAATGCCAGTTTGCACAGGATGGCTGTCTGAAAATATTATCAGGGGCCCTTGCAGTGATGAGGATTTGGCAGCCTGTACTCCAGCAGGTCTCTTGAATACCACATAAGCTACTTGGAATCCCTGTGAAGCAAGCAGCACATTGTTTTAGGATTCACTGTGCCAAAAACTAGAATGCTGTGGTAGCCATAGAGACAGCTGCTCCAGGCTCATCCTGGCTGTTCATTTGTCATTATGTTTTCTATCTGAAACCCCATTCAAAATACACACATCTCTAAAATTCCAAAGTCGGCCCCTGGAATCAGTAATGTCTGTCTTGCCTGGGATTAGTTTCAGGTTCTCCCAAATATAGGTCTGGAAACATTTATGAATCCTGCCTAATCCAGAACCCACAGAAAAGCTTAGCTAAATATGATATATTGGATACTGCACACTAGTTAATAAAATAGGTCAGGTCCAAAAATGGCTTCTTAAGCAAAGGCCTCACCTCTGCGCCCTTTAAAGAATCAAGAAATCAGCCTGCAAGAATTATCAAGGATAATCAGTAGAGGCCTTTATAAGCCAAGCTGAGGCAAGCTAGAAAGGGACTCAATCCCTTTCAGCTATAAGCTACCACAACAGAACACAGTAAGTTTGTTAGTCTAAAAGATCTTGACACACAAATAAGCACCCAGCTGATTTCACTGAGGAATCAGTAACAGTAAGCCAGGGAGAAGGTAACACCTGACCATCATAATGAAACGCTTGCTCCGGTCTTTTTCAAAAGTTCTCATTTGTTCTTCTTAAAAAGGTAATGCCTTAGTTTCCTTCATTGTGTTATTATCTTCCATGTTCTCAATTTACCAATGGTGTCTTGATATTGAAGAATTTGGTCCTGGGTGTTTCTGTCCCATCTCCTGCCTTTGGCTTTTCATACATCTCCACAGATTGTACAGGGCAAAAGTTGGAGAACAGCCTTGATAAACATTCCTTAAAGGAAGGCAAAAAAGATTTCAGCATGGTTAGAGGATGGACATTTCTGGAGGGTGAAATGGTTTCTTCTATCTTGCCTAACATCCTCAGCTATCTGTAGCAGGCAGATTACAGCTCACATCTTCCTTCTCTTCAATCGGTGCACAACTTGAGGACCTAGTATTGTATGTGGCTTTTGATGTTGCTTCCAGAATCCCTCTAAAGGTTTCCATGGTTGTGTAATTTTTAATGTGAGAGAAGAGGGAAATTATAAAATAAATGGCCAGACGTCATATTATATATATTTAACTGCATTTATTTTTATTCCATTTATCCTGCTCATTGTTTGTTTCACCTTATTTTTTTGGACTCCAGCACTCAACATGCCATTCAAAGATTCAGCATGGCCCCCTGCAAGTTGTGTATCCCTTTTTTAAGAGCTCTTACATGCTGTACCTTTCTTCTGGGGTCTTGGCATGCTGTACCTATCTTTTGGCAATAAACCTGATCACAATTCTGAGAATTAACTCTGTCCTTCATGCGGACTGGGGGTGACAGAGGGAAAGAGGCATATTTATTCCTTTAACCAATACACCGTACTACTTCTTTATCTGCTCAAACTTTAAAATCTAAACTTTCTACGGAAACAAAGCTTTCTTGATACTCTATTTGGTCATTCAGTCCAACCACTGCTGCAAATATCTACAATCAGCTGTCCCATACCGTACCATAAAGCTGATGACTGAGAGCTATGGAAGCTGAAAGCCAACAAATCTTGTGGGCACCAAGTTAGAGGGACCATGTTAAGCAGATGTTCAGAGAGACTAAAATAAGTTCACTTAACAGAATGACAAAGACAACCATTTTTTCCAGCAGATTTGCATTTATAATCAAAGTCCAATGTATATTATCTTCTCAAAGTTATCTTGTTTCCAGTTCTGTCTGATACTTCTTAGGGAC